GAAGATGATGTGACCATCTTCCCTAGTGAATTACTAAGATTAAGCTCAAGGAAAATGAGGTGCATTCATGGTTTACCTCAGTGGAAAATTCTGGCTGCGCCACGACAGACTTTTGAAGTGAAGTCTCTTTCTCCAGAGACCTTGGCACCTCAAGGATTTGGGGTGATTTATGTAAGCAAGAGCTTGATAACGTCTGGTTATTGCTTCAGAGTCCAAAGGAAGGTCAAAACAAGCCACAAATAACTTAGTGTTCTTTCTGGAAAATTCTTACAATGGTAAGGAAGAGCAGGATATGGAGTGATGTTGACAACAATACTTCAAACTTGCAAAAATGGAGGTAAGAGAGCAAAGGGAAGAAACAGGAAAACGACAGTGGTGGTTACCTGCTGAGGGGGATGGGCAGATCTTTAAATATTTCATCCTGAAAACACTTCTGTAACGAGAGTATATGAGATAAGTCAAACATGACTTAAAAGGATGAAGAGATATCGGGGCTGAAGAGAGGATTAGTGGAAGAGCACCGGCTGCTCTTGCAGAGGGCCCAGGTTTGGTTCCCAGCACCCACGTGGGGCTAACAACTGTCCATGACTCTGATTCCAGGGGATCTGTCTCCTCCTTCTGGCTTCAGTGGGCACTGCATGAATGTGGTATACAGACATACATGCAGGCAAAACACTCATACACATAAAATATAATAAAACAAATGTTTAAAAAGAAAAAATAAACCAAAGAGATGCTTCCTTCCTTTTTCTCCTCCTCCTGTTTATTTATTAATCTATTGATTGATTGCAAAGCCTTTCTCAATCATTGTGCCTGATATTAGCACCTTGTATTTGTAGATATTTGTCTTTATGGATACCCATATCATGCTGTGTCCTGATTACCCACTGAAATTTCTGTTTTCCATGAGGTCACACCACTTATCATCCCACGTGTGGTACTCCTACTGTCCCTACTATAAGATATTTGTTGTTCCAAAAGAGTTCCTCATGTACTACGAAGCTCATCACAGGGCCTGCTCATTACCAGGGTGCTCTTGAAGTTGTCCCAGCTGTGGAGGAGTCTGTCAGAATAAAGGAACAATATTCCCTTGATAAATTATAGATAGGAGAGAATTTTACAGGGACACAAGTAAGGAAAACATATTGTTTGCCTTTTACATATAGCAAATGTGGGCTTCTGACCTGCCTAAGGAGTCCACATTCTCCTTGAGACTGTGTCTTTGAACTTGATGTAGGCTGAAAGGAATAACCATTGAAAAACAAGTAGGGAAACTATAGGTTAAGAGGAGCGGAGAGCATTACCTGTTCTCTGGACAGGAGAAGACAGTAAAGATTAACATGATGTTTCAGGAAGATATGTTCTGTGGCTAGGAATCACCACAAGCTCTAGTCCAAGTCACAAGCCCACCCCCAAACACAACAACGTGCCTGTCTTGATATGTGCAAGACATAGCAAAATCCATGTTACCTGGAAAATACCTTAGTGGTAAAGTGTGATCAAATCCAAGTCACAAGAGTTAGAACATCCTGTCACCAACTGGCTGTGCATGCCACTTCGTGTCTTTCCCTCACACTGTGGCCCGGGTCCAGACTCACATCAATGAAGCCTTGTGTCCATGTGTTAGGGAAGGTTTGGATGAAGAAAGAGAGAGGAGACAGGAAGGGCTGGAGTGAATGAATATGACTTCACCTTAATAATTACCATGCTGACAGATGAGAAAGGAAGGCTTTGCTCATTTGATGTAATTTGTGTAGAGTTCGCAGAGTGAGGAAACAATAGAACAACTTTGAAATCATCATGGTGTCAGTGCATACGTGGGAGAGGCACCCAAACAGTGGAGATGTGTACAGTACTCAGGGATTATGAGGCCACAGAATATAAAATTAAAGAAGAGACATATTATTCACTGGGATAATTTTTGAAATAATGTTTACCTCAAGGAGATATCATCAATTCCAAGGATGAATCAGCCTGGACATACTAGGAAAGAAAGTCTATGATGCTCACAGGAGTGAAGATTTAATAACACCCCAGGGGGAGTGATTGAGCAGAGAAGCAAATG